GATGGCCACCTACAAGTTATCAGGGGTGACCACCAGCATCTGGGGGAACGTTTGTTCACCAGAGCGCCCCAAGGGATGATGAGGTCGAATGGTCACAAACTACTTCAAGACCGTTTCAGGCTGGACATAAGGAAGAACTTCTTTACTGTCTGAGCCCCCAAGGTCTGGAACAGCCTGCCACCGGAGGTGGTTCAAGCGCCTTCATTGAACACCTTCAAGATGAAACTGGATGCTTATCTTGCTGGGATCTTATGACCCCAGCTGACTTCCTGCCCTTTGGGCGGGGGGCTGGACTCGATGATCTTCCGAGGTCCCTTCCAGCCCTGATGTCTATGAAATTGGTTTAATTTTTCCTTTTAAACCTGCTGTAAAATAAAATCTGAATTTAATGCAAAATGATAGGACCTATGTTTGTAATCTCTTAAAAGGTTTAACGTTAAAAAACCGAGTATGCAGGATGCAAAGCCTCTGTCCAAAACTATAAGCTTGAAGCTTATAAATCTTTCAGCCCATTTAGGCTGTATATTTAATAAAGGGCTTCATCCTGTGGATATCCTAGGCTGGCTACTTGTACAAAGTACCGGCAAAATCAGTGCAGGCAGGCAGCCTGTGACCCAGGAAACAGCACCATGTACCTTGTCATAATCCTCGCTGAGCCCGCCTGGCTGGTCTCGTACGTCTGTTGTATAGCTTCTCCTTCCCTGAGCTCTGATCAACACAGTTCTCAAGCTTATGTCGAAGTTCAAAGTTTCTAAAATATTCAAGCTTGTGTTGCTTAATAAAAACCAACTATACATGCTGTTTTTGTGTGTTTTGAATTCATCAGCATCTTAATGCAGCTGTTTGACACCAATCATGATCAAACGTTAATTAGGAAGTAAAGAAGTAATATATCTTTGAGTATTTTCTGACATGAAAATGTATAATTAACATGCATCTACTAAGCTATATAATTGTTTAAATAAATTATTTAGGTATAGTGTTCCTTCCTTGATGGCAAAAAAGACGTACCAAATACATGATGAAGGGTCTGTTCAGTTATAAATCTACATGCTTTAATGGTTACAGCAGCCAACGAGCATGCACATTTATTTCAAAAAAATAAATAACTGAAATAAATATAGAACAGGTAATTAAAATGGATGATTGATTTGAATTGAGGTTCTCTACTTGGATTCAAATCTACCCACTCGGTCCCCCAGTGACATTACCTTTGCCTTTGTAGTTCTGCACCACTTCTCTTGCATCTCCTTATCATAGGAGAACTGAGGGAGGAAGAACAGTTTTGTGCTTGGAGCTTGGCATAGATGGTGAACTTTATTAATTAAATTGTATTTTTATTCTTGAGTATTTTTCCAGTTTATCTTGGTCATTTTGAATCTTAGCCCTATCCTCCAGAGTGTCGTTTGAATAAGATGGTCAGAGGCTCACTGTTGTTGTTCTGTCATCGTTGCATTGGTTTGTATAACTTCAGCTCCTTAGCCACCACTTTCTGTTTTAAACTGAATTTCTATACTCCTGATGTGATTCAAAGAGAGAGAAAAATTGTAATACTACAAATTCTGGTTGATCATTTTATCATGCAACAATTAAGTGTAGCAATTAGTAATATAATTATTATGCAGCTTAGTAAATTGTACAAGGGGCTTATTTTCCCAGGTTTTTAAACTTTTCCACGGGCACACGCAGACACAACTGTGTGGGGTCTGGGGCAAATCAGCCTGTGCGGGGCCTAGACTTGGTGGCAGGGGTGGGGGGTGGCAAGTGCCTGATGTGAAGCTGGCCCGGCTCTGACGGCCCCCCTCAAGCACGGGGCCTGGGGCAGTCGCCCCAATTCCCCCCAGGGATGGCTCTGGACACAAGAAGAAAGTTTGGGGTACTTATAGCTGAAATTCAGTGCATTATAGGCTGCTTCCTTTTTTGTATTTCAGCAATTGCAATGATCTGGGTAAACAAAGCTTTAAGTGGGATGTGGTTTTGAGGCAGTTGGTGGTAGAGCTGCAGTACTGTTAATGTAGCAGAGATGGGTATTTCCTTTGATTTAGAAGAGTTTTGATATTTTTGTCAAACTAAGGAGTAAAAACTTACGGTTCTCCCTAATAGGACCTTCTTCTGATATGATATGAGATAATGATTGATCAGGGTATTTCAATATTATGAATAGCTTTTGTTTTCTGCAGATTGCAAAATATATTACCCTGTTACGGGATTGCAATACAGGAGACCCTCACCATTTGCAGGGAAATGTTCTCGCGAATAAGGCACTGCATTCATGAATATCATCTGCATTCATGAACACAGTGCCCCTGGCGGCTGGAGCGGGGAGGGCACAGCGGCGGTGGTGGGAGCGTGGCAGCGGCAGTTGTATTTAAGATGTGGGTTCAGCATTCGTGAATATTTGAAACCATGAATGCCGAACCCACGAATAGTGAGGGTTTCCTGTTTTTGGCAGAGGAAATCTGTCATAGTAAGCTGAAGTGATTTGTATGCATGTTTCCAAGCTGGAGACAAGTTTCTAAATCTCTAACACACAGGAGGTAAAAGTCCATTTCAGATGATGGATATACAGGTGGCTTATGCATTTTAACAAAATAATAATTAGAGAAGAGTCTGCATCAGAACTCAAATAGTGGAATAATTTAGTTAGTACTAACGAAAGTGCAAAGTGTTCTTGAAAGTACCTCTTTTCTTGCTACAGATTTTTAAAAACATAATTATATTACAATTACATATTATACAATTTAATTGATTGCATATTATACAGTTTATTAAATTGTATAATATGTAGAATAAAGGTTAAAATATTTCCTCTATAGTCCAGCTGGTTTAAATTTGCATGTATATTTAAATAATTTGATATGCTAATTTATCAGCCTGTACCAAATAGCCATTTATACACTGAACTTGGAAAAAGTGTTTGCACAAATGACTTCATGCGTGTATTTAAGGCAGCCAGATTAGGGGAGGCAGCTGAATATGAGTGTTTCTGAAAATTGGGTCCCATGCGTTTGTTCTGTTGGATGTCTGGCTTGCTTGTTAACCTGAACTGTAAACATAGAATTGTATTTTGATCTAGATCTTGTGGTGATCAGCGTGCTTTTTAAGTAACCTCTTTGCTTTCTGCCACTTCTTGATTTAAAAAAAAAATCTGCTCAAATCATCATGATAGACTTTACTGTTTTTATTATTATTTTGTATATTCCAATTTCATGGGCTCCAGTACAGAAATACTTTCTAGATGAGTGGATTTCTGCATGCCACTAGAGCCTACTTTGGGCTGTCACAAAACCAGCGTGCAGGTGTTTACCAGTGCTGTGTTTACAGTGTTTGCCTGATGCTTAATTAGATACTGTTAATATTTTAGAATAGGGCTGTTCATCTTGCAGCCTGTGGTTGGCATGCAGACTGCAAGGGGCTATGTTTTGGCCCCGGAGTTCCTGCCCAACCAAATGCATTGTGCATTGAGGTGTGGGGGGAGGGCAGAAGGAGGTGGGCAGTGATTTTGCTATAGTGGAGTGGTGGGAGGAAGTGGGTGCACACTTCAGTTCTGCAATGGGAGATGGGGAGGGAGAGCAGGCATACATGTAGTGTGCAGGAGGGCTCATGGCTTGCCCTGGTGTAGCCCAGGGGCTGTGCGGCTCCTACTGGTATGGTCCAAGGGGCATTCACCCCCAACTGCTTAGCAGTTGGACAACCCTATTTTAGAAGGTAGAGGATACATTTACAATGCAATGCCCTAGCAGCATGACTGCCATTAGCATTTGTCAGTTTAAGTTAGCCTCTCAATGATGATGATTTTTTAATGATAATTTAGAAAATATTCAAAGCAGAAAAATGTATTCTGTAGTCATTTAAAGGCAATTTTCTGTTGACATTAAGATGCTGCTGTAAAGTCAATAAATAGCTGAGACCTCCTCCATCCTCTTTCCCCAATATGAAAAGTAATTTAAAAAAGCACTCTGCATTGTTGCACTTCAGCAGCTTTTTCTCTCTTTCCACACCCATCCAGCAGATTTAATATCCACATTAATTCCAGGTAACAATGAATTTGATGGCTTCATCTAATGCTGGTGTCAATGCACATATATTTTTGTCATAATTGCCAAAGGAGAGAGTTTTTGTTCAGACACATGTAGGTAATTCTTCCATTGCTTCTGCATCAGGTCTGTCGTTCAGTGTGATCAGCAGTGTTATTGTAAGCTTACAGTTTTTATACTTGGAGCTTTATCAGCATTTATGGCACATTTATGAAAAGTAGCCACCTCGCAACAGATGATCTCTTCTCAAATGTTAGTAAATGCTGTCTGCAGGAAAATCTTAGTCGTACCAGTTTGCCTGAAACGGCCACTGGCACCAGGACAAACGATCTAGATAAGATGCATTGCTTGGTTATATGCATTAATGGAAAAAAGCCTTCTGAGTTTACCATGTAAATGTAGCCAAAGCCTTCCTCTCATTCCTTTGTCCCTGCAAGCTTCTTGATACCAGAAAAGACACTACATGTGCCAACTTAAATAAAAAGCAAGAAAGTCTTGAGAATTAGAAGGCTGAATCCTATCACTTCACTCGAGCGGCTGAGCTCGTTACGTGACCTATCTTTACACAGGCTGATTTCTGCCCATGACAGAACGTACAGGAGCTACTGTGGGATTACGAGAAGCACCTGTACACAAAGCAGACTTATTGTGCAGATCACAATTGCATCGTTTCAAAAGCAAAAATTTTCCCCAAATTACAAATGTTTATTTTAAAATAATCAGCGTTGAGGAAGGTGATTTTACATGGTATATGCATGCACTGTTAGCTAGTGTTTAATGCAGCGAATCATCCTTTTGGCCATGGCAGATGATTTTTTCCTCAATATCCGTTATCCTTGCTGACATTAAGCTATCCTGAACAGTTCCTTTGGAAGGTTTAGTGGTTGTTCCTTGAGCCAGCATTCTCATTCATTTAAAGTCACACTTGATTCTTTTTGTGACTTCTTCTCTTTTTGTCTACAGGGGGAATTTACTCAGATAAAAGTGTTTTCTAGTCTGTCACCTATCCCTGGATTCACCAAGTGGCTTATTGGACTTCTTTCTTCACAAACAAAGGAACTGGGAAGAAATGAACTGTTTACGGATTCAGAGTGTCAAGAAATCTCTGAGATCACAGGAGGTCCTGCAGTTGAAACTCTAAAGAGGCTCTTAACTAACAATGAATGGGTGAGATCCGAAAGACTGGTCCAAGTATTGCAGTTGCCTTTTATGAGGCTCTGTGCTTGGTACCTGTATGGAGAGAAGCATCGTGGTTATGCTCTTAATCTGGTAGCAAACTTTCATCTACAGAACGGAGCGGTGATGTGGCGGATTAACTGGATGGCAGACACAAGCCCCCGGGGTATTACTGCCTCCTGTGGCATGATGGTGAATTACCGATACTTCTTAGAGGATACAGTCAGTAACAGTGCAGAATATCTCTGGACAAAACACATAAAAGCCTCAGAGCAGGTACTTTCCTTGGTGTCACACTTTCAGCAACATAGCAAACTTTAAACGGTGTTAAGAGCAAACGCTTCTGTTTTGAATAAAAAGAATGTCTTGTGGTGTCTGGAGAAATGAGAATATTTCTAATGAAATGAGCTGCGTTCTCTAGTCATCATAGGGTGCAAATTACATCGATTGTCAATTGTTGTGAGTTCCTTTGCTTGCACTGCCAGATATGCTGTGGTTGAATCATTGCCATATTTTTATGTTCAAATGAACCAGAAGGGTGTAAAATGAGTGAGTAAACTCCTCTCGGTAAGGTTACAAGTCAGCAATGAATGACTTGTAGGGACTGTTCTCTGCCTGTGTCATAGCCACTGCAATCAATATAGTTGTTTTTAAACTGCATCTTCAAAAGCATTGACGAATTCTGCTGCTCTCTGATATTACAGCTGTAGGGAAATCAATACCAAAGTAACTAGATAAAAGTACTAGGTGGAGACCATTTTTTGTTCAAACAAGTTATTAAAACAGCAGCATGCAACATTTCCTCAGTTAGATTGTCCCCCTTGCCCCAACTCTTTTCTGTAAAAGCCTGTTGATCCAAGCGATCCCTTTTCTTTTGCAACCCTGCATAAACTACATTGAGATTTTGCTATGACCAGTTTTCCTTTGTGGTTCAGTGTCCAGCACACTCAAGGCACTAGGGGTATGTAACAATATGCTTGTAGTTTCTTCTCTTTCAGATTTACATCTTAATATGGAAAAGTAAAGGGTTCCAAGTAAGAAAAAAGGTGGTTGCTTATGATTTAATTTTGATTTTTTTTCTAATATATTTATAATAAACATCATATGATATTGTGATTGTGTGCGTGGTGTTTTTAAGTTAGAGTTTATTATAACAACCTAGATTTTGTTGTAAAGAAAATAATTACTACTTATGCTATAAATGTTTTGTATTTCTTTCGAAATGTAACGTACAAATAACCATTCTTTGATGTTACTGTCTCCAGTGAAATAAGACAGATGTCTTCAATGGATCCTGATACTGGCAGATTTAGAGTATAAAACGCCTGCTTTCTTTCAGAAGTTCCAGATCCCACCACTGGGAGAAGACTTTTACAGAAATCTTTGTAGAGTTTCTTCTTTCCTATCCACGTGTTTGTGAAGGGAGCCCTAAGTGTCCAATTCTCCTTTCTATTGGAGCAAAATGTATGGATTTCTACTGGAGCAAGTGAACTTTTGTTTGTCCGTGATAAGAAATCGTTCCAACCCTCTGAGTTGGTAACCTATTTTAAATATCTGCTAAATGGAGAAACTGTTCCCTTGGCTTTTGCTAATGGCATTTCTCAACACGATAACGCGGAGAGATTGGATTCACTACACATTATTCCCCTCAGAACAGAGCCACTTTTAGAGAGCAGCTGGTCCTCACATTAGCAATGGCAACTAGCCTATGCCATGCTGCTTTCATTATGTTTTTAAGGATCGTTCCAAAAAAACAGCAGTCAGCAGGTATCTTGTATGTTGTTAGTTTTTGATCAGCTATCATTTTAAGACACTCCTTGCAGGGGGAGAAGCACAGGAAAATTGTTCTGCCAAACTCATTAAGGAAAAATTAAGTGTCCCTTTGCTCAGCTTGAATTGTAATTTTTGTGTGTATGCCAGAGGGTATGTGCCAAAAAGATAGCTTTTTCTCTGCCACTTAGTAACTTGAACTGTTGAACACGAGCCAGGAAACACTGTAAAGTTCATGAAGAGATGTTGTATGTTCTTTCATTGTCTTCTGCTTATTCCCAGTTGTGGAATTTCAGTCCTTTGTGAACAAGTACTCAGACCTTTTGAATCATTTATTGAGCAGTAATGTCAGATCCTGTTTCTGGCCAATGGTGGGGCAAGTACTTGCCCATTGACCAAGCTGGTTGACAGTGTAGCGTAAATGTCATTGCTAACAGGGCAAGAAAATAGTTATTAAACTGTAAAACTGTTTTTTTCTGCTGGGGTTAGGAGTGCAGCAAAATGTTAAAACACCTGGGAGAGACCCAGCAGATGTTGCTGAGTCCTGGCTTAGCACTGAATTTGGAATTGAGCAGTAGTTGGTGTTCAGTGAGTTGGATGAGGGGTCAATGAGGCATGCAGAGGATATGTACTTTCCAACAGACATTGGTGACTAAAGGCTCTGAATGTAGACTTCATCTGCACCTCAAGGGTCCTATATGAACAAAGCATATCAAACCATAGTTGCAAGGTAAGTAACCTGCCTCTTTCTTGCCCTTCCTCTATCCATTTTCTCCTCCCTTCACCTCAAATTATTAGTGTTTACTGAGAACAATTGTAGCAACTGGATGTTTAGCATTTCTGAAGATCTAGCTGCTTATTTATACAGCTAAATAAAAAAATATTTGGACGCTGCTCCCTTTGGAAAATGTCACCCCTGTTCAAATCTGCAGGAGTTGAGGGTCTTTAGTACTTTACAGAACTGGGCTTTAGGACTTGATTCTTCTGTTATGGGAACTCCAATGATGTATGATTTAAACTTGGTTTCAATATGATGTGTTCGTACTACTGTGACTTACGTTGATGGTACACGTCTTTCTCGATTTACCTTTTTTTTTACCACACAGGGGCAACACTGTCCATTCTGGTCAGTTCAACATGTAAAATGGCTGTGGATGTCTCCTGGAATCTGAACATCTGGGATGGAGGACATACATCATTTAATATGAATATATGTGTTTATACAGTGTGTGTGATTTATCTATTTTTATACATTATAAAAGTGTGCGTGAGTCAGTTTTGCCTAATAAGATGTTGCCCAGGTTTCAGGACTCTAGATCTCTGTTAAAAACCTGTTTAAATTAATTCAGTTTTTTCTTACATTGGCATGGCATCTGCTAGCATTGCCAAAATGAAGGGTCCATTTCAATTTCTGATTCCAAAACCCACTTTTTACAAAGGTTTTAACATTACTTTTTATTACTATACTCTTTCTATACCTTCATGTTCCTGTTCTCAGCCTGAAACAGATGATTTATATTTGGGGCGGATGGGGTGGGGGAGATGGGATTAATTAGTCCCATTTTATTTTTAACCAAGAAGCATTAAAGGGCTTAAATATTTTCCCTGAGGAAAAGCAGAATAAGTCTAAAGTTTTGCAAGCACTTTAGCTTGATGAGAAACTTGCTTTAAGTTACAGTGTTTATAAAGAATTGCATCATGGCACAAGCAATTTGCTTACTAGGAGGAGAAAGAGATCTATTCCCTCTGTAAATAGGTGCACAGTAGAAGTGTTTGGGAAACTTTGATTTTGCTTCTATGCCTGGCCATACAGTAATATGAACAAAAGAACATTTTAAATAAAGAGTTGACTTTCAGTGGGGACTTGAACTTGCCCAGCACTTTGCCAGTGCTTGTACCAGCAGTTGCAGTGGACAGATGTTAATGCCTGAATCTGCAGGTGATGGATTTAATCACCTGCTCACATGATTGTTAGTGGTGGGGAAGAGGAAGAGAAAGGGTCTACCACTTTGTGCTTGCCAGTCTAAATAAAAAATGAGGCATTGAAGTTATAGCAAATGTGTGATGGGTGTGTGAGAGAGTGACATCATTGAATGGTATTTTTTTCTAGGCAGTTTTAGGGGTCAATGTATATATGTAACATCTGTGTTTGGTGCCAGACTTTTAATGGCTACGGTCAAAAATGTATGCAGAATCATTAGAGATGAGGAGGGGGAAGTTTTCCAAAAGTTTTTTGTAGAGCCATGCTGCTTCTTTTTCCATGGTCAGAAAGAGAGAGAGAGAGAGAGAGAGCGCGTGTGTTAGGAGGTACAATTTCTCGTACAAAGTAGGTTGGGTTTTGAGGTGAAAATTAATTTTTATATATGAATGAATACAGCTGTTTGGAAGGAAAAAGCTGTTATCTTTGTTAAAATACTTCAGGCTTGTAGAAAATCATTTTGCTTTCAATAAGATCCTTCCACTAAAGGGAGGAATAATTCTAAGGGCTGTGACAGGTCTCTTAGTATGGATTCTCTCACCTGGCCAGATTTTAAGCCTATCCTACGTGTATTTATAATAAAGGTAATACAGCTTTAAGGATTCTGCAGCTTCCACAGTTGGACACATGGCATCTGTGGTGGGACAGTACGGGGCACTAATATGCTGAGCCACCTACCTCACTGTGCCACGCCGAAATCCACGCTCTGGGAGTCTCCCTCGGGGAGCATACATCCAGCCGTCCCCCTTCCTGGAAACCTCCTGCAAGCCTGGGGTAACGCTGCCACCACCCAGGCACTGATCTTTGTTAGGGCTCTGCGCAGCCCGGGGTACACAGACTCTGAAAGCCTTGAGGGGTGCTTTGCCCACAGTGGTATTTCGGGGTGCTTCTTTCACCCTGAAGCATCCAAACGTAGCCTCCTATACCAGAGAAAACTAAATAGCCAAGCCCACCTTAGCCAGCTTAGCAAAGGGAGTGAAAAATGCCGATCTCTCCCCAACACAGATAACCAGGTAGTCATGCTGAGCCAGATGGGTCTTTATTGATCGGGGGAGAGTGTGGGGAAGGGGGTATAATAATGGCAGTTAAGAGAGAGCACGTTGAGCAATCAAAATATGTTGAGTCTCAAAACACCTGGGCTCAATGGCCTTTTTAATACATGTCTAAATTACTCACTTCTATCTACCTAATTTTCAGGCGTACCCACTGGTTCATCCAGAGAGACTCACTCTGGAGTTTCAGGGTTTGTGTCTGTTCCAAAAAGCCTGGCAGAGGAAGAGGGAGTGACCTCCTAGACCCGGTGGCCTTCAGCATTTCCTGTAAGCTGCACGGAGTGTGCCGCTGCACAGGCGCACTCATGCCGCATTGCCAGGTGCGCCTGTGCAGCTGCACATGCTATGCATCTTAGAGGGAATGCTGGTGGCCTGACCCTTAAATAATTTTTCTGACATCATCACTTGGACCCAACCAGAAACAGGCATTATTTGAACTCTGCTATTGCAGACCAATCACTTCAAAAGGGGTTTGC